GACACTGTGGGGCCGTCCATAAATGACGTCACGCGATTTTTGCCGATTTTTGACCCCCCCTCCCAAAACCATATTTCAATTTTGAAAATAAAAATGCTTCAAATCGCTTTAAACTATTGTCATTGTAGTGCGTATTTAATGTGGCGCTGTACTCTGATGTTGTAGGAGACAACATACATTAAAAGGAGGCGTTGGAAAGCTGAAATTTAGCATAAAATTCGCTTGAAAAGATTCAACTTCTAACTAAAACTGCAGATGTTCAGAATATTATATTGAAATTCTCTTATAATAAATATTAAAAGTAATAACTATGAAAAAATACTTGAAACTTTGTAGTAGAACGAAGCTAAATGGAGAGTACAACTATAAGAATCATATATTCATTTCACAGAATGAAAAGCCCTGCTAGAATCATTAGAATCAAAATGTTTAGTAACAATCATTCAAAAAATTACTAAATGTATGCTTCTCAATTCTCCCATGGAGAAGAAAAATGTTCCTTCGTGGAATAAATAAAAGGTGACCTTAGCAAATTAAAATAATAAAACAGTTAATAATGAAAATTTATTTTAAAAAAAATTTCTGTTATAACGCTTCTATTTAATTAACATTTATTTAAAGTTGCGAATTTTGATGTGCGTGACGTCACATTTCTCAAACTCCGCCCCTCCCCCCCCGGGTGCGTGACGTCACATTTCTCAAACTCCGCCCCTCCCCCCCCCGGGTGCGTGACGTCACATTTCTCAAACCCCGCCCCTCCCCCCCCGGGTGCGTGACGTCACAGTTCTCAAACCCCGCCCCTCCCCCCCGGTGCGTGACGTCATTTACGTGCTCACGATTCCTGCGCGCCCATTGGCTGCCAAATTGGGCCAATCAGCGAGCTCCTTTTCCAACGCGTTCACCGATGGACGCACGCAATTCGCGGTTCGTCAAGCCTCAGGCGAAACTCGACGCCACCCTGCACAGAGTTGTTTAGACGAGCCGCAAACAACGCCCGCGCACAAACAACAACAACAACAATAATAACAGTGTTGAAAGGCGAATGTCGTCACGACTACTCGAGAAGAACGGCCTTTCCACCCCCCCCACCCCGTGAGCGGGCGGAGCTCGGCCGCCTTGGGTGCGTCTCCCTCGGCAGGGGCTTCCAGGCAAGGCGGGGGGGTGCGGGGTTGGGGCTTCGGCCTTCTCTGAGAAGCGCACGCGAGAGGAATTTTGTTTGTTTTTACGCAGCGGGGCAAACTCGTAACAATAAAAACACGTAAATGTTTAGTATCTTTTTTTCGATTTAAAGCTTCTTTCGTGACTGCAGGGATTCATATTGTTGGTTCTTTCGGTAAAGTCATCACGTAGAAGGAAAATAATAAAATAATAATAATTAAACAATTAATTAATATTCTCACGACGTTTCGGCCACAACGCAAGCAGCCGTCCTCAGGTGAAGAACAGGTCTGTCGGAAAGACAGCGTCTGTTCTTCACCTGAGGACGGCTGCTTGTGTTGTGGCCGAAACGTCGTGAGAATTATATTTTACTATGTTTTATTTTTATTATTTTCCTTCTACGTGACTTTACCGAAAGAACCAAGAAGATGTTTAGTATCTTGTGGGTGTGTGTTTAGGTTGTGTTTGCAGCGCTGTTCTGTTTATTAATGGGTGGCGGTATTTTATTTAGTTTAACCTGGAGATACAACAGTAGTCACACTTGCAAACAGTGGCACGGGTCGTCAAATACAATTTATATTTTAAAAACCTCAAAATGTATGGACACCATACAGCAGTACTGGGGACGACTGCTTGTGTTGTGATCGAAACGTCGTACACTTTTATTTTATTCCTACGTGACTTTACCGAAAGAACTAAAGAGTATGGATTCATAATCTTGGTTCTTTCGGTAAAGTCACGTTGAAGGGAAATAATAAAATAACAAAAATATAAAACAATAAAAATCCTCACGACGTTTCGACTGCAACACAAGCAATCGTCATCAGGTGTGAAATCCACAGCAAGAAAGTTTGAAAAAAGTGGCGGTTGTTTTTAAATCCTTTATATTAAGTTCGCTTGCTTGTGCGCTTACGACCGTGCAAATCTTTCGGTCGTTTTTTAACCCACTTCCCGTGATCCAATCGAGCTGACATTTTGCACACAGACTCGTTGTGCGAGACAATTAATGTTCGTGAAAATTTTTTTTCCAAAATTTTACACTGTTTAGGGGAAAATAAATAAATATTTAATTACCAATTGCTTAATGGTGGCAGACAATCATCTGACCCATAGGTGGCAGCCATCTCAAGCCAGAGGATGAGAGGACTCTAGCCGCCACGCACATAAAGGATTTATAGTGAAAAACTTTGTTTTTACGGGTTAATTTTTCCTAACTTTTTTCCTATTATCTTGCTGTGGATTTCACACCTGATGACGACTGCTTGTGTTGCAGTCGAAACGTGACTTTACCGAAAGAACCAAAGAGTAAAGCTCTCTTCTAGTCAATCAACCCACTACATTTGCACATTCCTGCCGCCATGTCCTGTATTCGCCAATAAGCCTCATATCAGGTGAAATAAAGTCTCGAGTCTGACCTGAGTTGTATTCCCAAGCACAGTTAAACACGAGTGGCGAGTGAGATCTGAACAAGTCCTTCGCAAACCCCCGTTGACCAAGTGTAGTGATCACCAATGACCATCACAGCGTGGGTTTGAGCGGTTTCATCCAACACTGGATTGACAAATGGCAACATTATTTTCACGTATTTATATTGTATTAATTTCAATGGTATACTCTACGGAAAGACGGAAAGTGCTTTCTGCAACACTGCGGTGAAAGCGAATTCATACCCTTTATTTCTTGCCAGGAGCTTGAATCTATGCATATTCAAACAATAGTTGACTGACGGTTTAAGCTGTACAGTGATACCTCGGTTCACGAACGCTTCTGTTCACGAACAACTCGGTTCACGAACAGAAAATTTCATAAAAATATGCTCCGGTTCACGAACTCCGCTTCGGTTCACGAACAGGAGCCGCGGCCATTTTTATGCTAATTCCAGGCTGTCACATGGTCGTGACTTCCTGTAGGAAGATCGTGGAGAGAAGCAGAGACACAGAAAGAAGTACTGTGAGTACTGTGAAGACACTTTCAGTGACTTTTTGATTTTTGGTGTGCTTTTTAGCACATACAGTACTGTACTACTGTACTGTCCAATACTGTACTTACTGTAATGTACAGTTCACCCGTTTGAGTGCTTACTGTCTCCCACCCGCCTTCCACTTGCCTTCCTCCATGCCAGAAGTTATCTCAAGCAAGGTTAGTGTTCTCTCTTTATACATTACTATACTGTACAGTACTAATGTGTATTGTCATTTGTTTATATTTTTGTGTATCAAAACCAAAAAAAAAGGTCAGAACGGATTAACCGGATTTACATTGAACCCTATGGGAAAATGTGCCTCGGTTCACGACCAATTCGGTTCGCGACCAGAGTCAGTTCACGAATTAAGTTCGTGAACCGAGGTATCACTGTAGTATGAAATTTAGATCAATGAAAAACCCATGGTTGTGTGTCAGTAAAACATTGCTGGAACTGTAAAACACTTTTTACAACAGCACACGGTTTATTTCCTATTTGTAACTAACACAATGTGGTGTGGCCCCTTGTCAGTGTTGGTAATGTTTGAGTTGCAGAGTCGTGAGAATGCTGATTTGGAATGTGTCTCATTCTGTGAAACGCAGCAGAGAGAAACCGGTTCTCACACCGAGCAAAGACAAAGTCGTGGTGCACTGTGTGGCTAAAAGACGAAGTGGGCGTGCAGACATTCTCGTGAGGCAACGGATTCCCATTCGTGTGGAGACTTTAAATTCATGGATCCTCCTGATGATCGCAAAGAGCTCCCTTCGCAAGTCTTTGTCGCAGATGTCGTGGCGAAGAAGCTCGGTTTATCAGGCAACAGCTGCGACGCGCCGGAGGTAAACGAACTTTGTTTTCATAGTCCAGTACAGGATGCAGAGGTCGCAAACGGGTTTTGATTCCTTACCCGTACCCGACCGCACCAGGGTCGCAAATGGGTACCCGTGCCCGTACCCGGCCGGGTACAGGTAGCCGTATCCTACCCGTACCCTACCCGAAATGAGTGACAAACGGTTACTCACCAGTGACTCACGGCCTACCCGTACCCAGACGCACCAGGGTCGCAAACGGCTACCCGTACCCGACCGGGTACGGGTAGCCGGGTATCGGGTAGGGTAGCCGGGTATCGGGTACCCGGTTGCGACCTCTGACAGGATGATCCATTCATAGATACAGCACTAAAACCATACAAATATGTGGGACAATATCGAGAAAGCTATTTCAAAGCCTCTACACGTCCATCACCTATAACAATCCACTCGTTACATGTTTAACTTCGTGCATTGCTTTCCCAACAATCAGTCACCTGTGGAGAGGAAGTACTGTAATAGGGTCGTGAAAAACCAGGGCCCCTTAACATCGCCGCACCCCACCACACACTCGCAACTTATTTGGATTGGAAGTTGTCCGCGAGAGTCATTGCTGATGCGAATTCGTTGTTTCCCTTTGAAGTGTGATGGTGAGGACAGAAGCGATGCCATGCGTGGGGAATGTGACAGTGTTGCAGGAGACATCTCACTCGTGGATGTACTACTTGAAAAACAGCACAACCAAGACAATTGTTCACAGACGTTCAATCTTACTCAGAAAGACCCAGAACCACAAAAGTGGCTTCCCAAGAAGCTTACGCAACACTCGGCTTTGTCTTGTGGGACTATATTGGGCTGTGACAATACTGGTCAAATGAAAACACACAATGTGGAACAATTGCTGCCTCGTGACTGGAATAAGAATACACTAAAGAGAACAGAATCTAATCCTCTACACATCGCACAAAATGTACAGACTGAGCCGCATCACGGTTTTTACGCAAATATTGTAGGAAACGACATTCGGAGCTCATCGAGAGGCAATTCTCAAAATGCAAAACTTCCAAAGCTCGATGGAACCATTCGCACGTTAACGTCTAATTCTCAAGCTGACGCACAAACAGGTTGCTTTCATTCGGAGGATGAAATAAAATTGGCTGATATCTTAACGGACGATTTAGAATGTACGATTACCACCAGAAAACCGCCAAAACCCACTTGTGCTTCTGCACTTTCGGAAGCAAATGACTCAAATGCTGCCTTTAGTGAAGAGGCTGACCACATCGCTCGCGGAAGAGCCGACGGTTCTTCAACAGCAAATGCGCTTGGACTGGAAAATATAAAAGTAGCCGCAGATGTAGCCAACAAGGGCACGAGCATAAGAGATCGCATCAAGAAAACGCTCGTGGCAAACGCGTGGGCAGCTACCCGCGTGGTGTCGCACACCAGGAACCTGCAGGAGTCTGCGCTGTCGCACGAGAGGCAGATCGCCACGGAGACTTGTGCCGATGACAGCCAGTTTGAGATTGGTCCTTTCTATGGGCTTCCCACGAAGGTGCACAGCCTTCTGCAACAACAGCGTGGCATTAAAGAGCTCTACGGTAATGTGTGCTTTTTTTACACTCGGATATTTACGCGAAATTGTCTCTCGGTTTTTTTTCATGTCAGCATATCTTTTTTTTTTTCTCGTGGGAGAAATGGTAATTGAATAGTATTTGGCGGACTTACTCTTTGGTTCTTTCGGTAAAGTCACGTAGAAAGAGAAAATTATGAATTAAATACTAGCAAACGACATTTCGATTGCAACACAAGCAATCGTCATCAGGTACAAATGAAATAGAAAACAAAGCCTAGTAAACTTAGAAATATAATGCAATACAACACAGATAGTCGGCTAACATAACGGTCAACACCCTACCTGGATTGATTACGCTCTTCCAAAGATTGCAAAATTTAAGAGAGAGATTAAACAGAACAGGAGACACACAGACAGACACATAAACAGAGAGAGACAACACAGAGACACACAGAGAGAGACAAACAACATAGGCACACAGACACAGAGACACACAATATAGACACACAGACAGACATATAAGCAGACAGAGACAACACAGAGACACAGAGAGACACAACATAGGCACACAGAGAAACGACGCCTCTGTGTCGAGGCCTTAGATAGAGAAAGGGGGTAGAGAGAGAGGGGGTGGGGGGGTACAGAGAGAGGGGGGCAAAGAGTGAGGGGGGCAGAGATGGAGGGGGGGGGGTTGAGAAATTAATTTTTAGTACATGGTGGAATTTTGCTAAATGTATTTTACCAATTTGTTTTTGTTATAACAGCATATCACTGCTTATTTGATTCGTACTGTAAACGTTTACACATCACCAGTGTCGTGATGTTAGCTGTCAAGCCTAATCCAATTTCTCACACATTAGGTGATGGTTGAAACATTTTTGTCGTCCTGCACGCAAGTTAATAATTTTAATCGGCGTTTTTGTTCTCTTAACGTGTAATAAGCCACCCGTTTGAAAAAAAATTAACCCGTAAAAACAAAGTTTTTCACTATAAATCCTTTATATGCATGGCGGCTAGAGTCCTCTCGTCCTCTGGCTTGAGATGGCTGCCACCTATCGGTCAGATGATTGCCTGCCACCATTAAGCAATTGGTAATTAAATATAATTTATTTTTTCCTAAAAAGTGTAAAAATTTGGAAAAAAAATTTAACGAGAATAAATTGTCACGCACAACGAGTCTGTGTGCAAAATGTCAGCTCGATTGGATCACGGGAAGTGGGTTAAAAAACGACCGAAAGATTTGCACGGTCGTAAGCGCGCAAGCAAGCACGCAAGCACGCAAGCGAACTTAATATAAAGGATTTAATTACAATTGACACATTCACGTGTTTCAGATTCTGCCGTGCATTTAATCATTCTCTTTTTATATTTGTGTCGACACATGACGCCGCAAAGCCTGGCAGCACGACTGCTTGTCCCTGGACTCCGTGAGACGAGGGAAGAATCTGATTTACTCTTTACCGACAAGTGGCGGCAAGACGCTCGTGGCAGAGATCCTCATGCTGAGGCAGCTGCTCTGCAAGAGAACGGACGCTCTGCTCATTCTTCCCTACGTTGCCATCGTCCAGGAGAAGGTAACGATCGCTTTTGTACACGCACATTTCCACACCGACACAGCAGCATAAATGCGGTTATACGAATGACTCTTTGGTTCTTTCGGTAAAGTGACGTATAAAGAGAAAATGATCAATTAAATACTAGCATACGACGTTTCGATTGCAACGGAAGCAATCGTCATCAGGTATAAATGAAATAGAAACACAAATCTAGTATACTTATAAATGTAATGTAATACAACAGAGAGTCGGATAACATAACAGTCAACACCCTACCTGGTTGATTACGTTCTTCCTGAGAATACTAAATTTGAGAGAGAGATTAAACAGAACCAGAGACATATAGACAGACATATAAGCAGACATCACAGAGATACATAGAGAGAGAGAGACGTACAAAGGCACACAGAGAAACCACGTCTCTGTGTCGAGGCCTATGTTTTGTCTCTATGTAAAGTCCTCCAAGATAAGTCAACTGAGGCAGCCGGGAATTTGGAAGTCTCGTTGAAATATTTCCGTCTTGGCTTAGGAACAGATACTCGGATGCAGAGTACAATCTCGGGTTCATCAATTATTCCCACACGACACACAATTGTGATGTGTCGCCGCTGCTACTGCTGCTGCTGCTACTGTCGGGGTCGCTAGCCCCCGAGATCCCTCCCTCGATGATGCTTACGGCCGGGCTAACCTCATCAATCGCCCCCCCGCTGCTGAGCGAACCGCTGCTAGGTTCCTCACCCATGGTGTGGGAGCCGTCGCCCGAGGATTCCCCTCCCCCGCGGGTCCGCGTAGTAGGCATGGTTGGATACCGCGTAGTATTATGTCCCCCTTTACGCTACCACGATACCTCCCTTTCCTAATCGCGTACCTGCGACCCACACGGAGCGAACGTACGCACACACACACACACCGCTCCGTGCACTCCAACTCCACACTGACTACTCGCGTTATGATCGTGTACCTGTATCACACACGGAGTGAACACACGCGACACCTACTCTCGCACCGCTCTGCGCAGCGCTCCCCCGAGGCGAGCCGCAGCACTACAAAACCACTGCGTACACACGCTCACCCACGCGCTCACACTGTACGACAAGATCACGCGAGACCACGCTTCGCTATTAATGATTTATTATCCGCTACCTGGAACTAGATGTTAAATCAGTGAGTCGACGAGGCTGGCCTACGCTGATACCTCTATACCTATTCCCCATTTATCTGCTATGATTCTAATTCACCTTCTTACTCACTGTTAAGTGTCCACGGCGGTCCGCTGATCCTTGTGCTAACCGCGTGCCTCGGTGCGTTGCACGGACGTCCGGGTCGCTGGCTCGAGCTGCGTCTGGTCGCCTGGCGCTGGAGTAAGAGAGCGATTTCCCCTCTGCGCTCCTCTATTTATCCTCCCTACCTCAAAGGGGATGCTGCGCTGAACAATGGGCTCGCGCACCCCGAGCCCGCGCACGGCGGTTCCGGGCGCTTTTGATCTGCTAATCAGTGAGCGGCGTTGGCGGCGTACATCCTAATTAATCCCTTACCCTTCCTAACAATGGGGCCTGCGCGCTCAAGCGTAATTATCCCAACCCTCCATGACTATGCGCAACAGCTCCTGCGGTCCCGCTATTCATGCTGTCCCGTCCCTCCCCTGCTTGCCCCGTCGACCCGTGGGGGTGTGTGTGGGGGGAAATGCGCCTCAACCGCGGTGGCCGAATGCCCCATGCCGCGACCACACAATATTAAGGCTGGTCGCAGCGCCGCGGCGCAACGTAGCACGGGGGAGGTCGTCCAATTCCCTGATCGCCGGAAACCGTGAGAGTTAACCCCGATAAGGGTTTTTCGGATAAAAACCGGTCGGCCAGGTGACCTCCCCTCGGAGCTCTATGGGGGGGGGGGGGGAAATGCGTGCGGGTGTGTTCGTGTGAGGTGAGGTGAGGGGGACGCGGGGTTGGCTCCGTTGCTTGGTGGTGGCGAGGTCGGGGATTTGGGCGCCTGCCGAACGGCTTCATGGCGGCGGCATCACACTACTACTGCTGCTACTACGGCTGCTGCTGCTGCTCGAACAGGTGCGGAGCCTGTCTGTGTTTGGTGTGGAGCTTGAAATCTTCATAGAGGAATACGCGGGAAGCAAGGGGCGCATGCCACCGCGAAAACACCGAAAGAAGAATTCTCTCTACATCGCCACCATTGAGAAAGCCCACAGCCTGGTCAACGCCCTTCTAGAGGAGGGGCGCATGAAGGAGATTGGCCTGATCGTTGTGGATGAGGTATGCGGCATTCATTATTTAATTACAGAGAATAATTGGCATCCTGCAAATGTCATTACAAATGTTACGTATTAATGTTCATCATCGTCATAATCAGCCGTCGTGAATCTACTTCTGGATGAGGGCATCCCCAAGCCTCCGCCATCTTGCACAGGCCCACAATGCAACAGTCCACCCAGCAGCAGCAGCACACGAGCTGTGACATCAGTGCAATGTAGTGTTGAGTCTCATTTGCAGCGACGTACTAATGGTTTGATAATTGTTTTTTTACCCTTCTATCTGGCAACAAAACTGACACATTTTTTACGAGGCGTCATGTTTGCATAGACCACAATACCTGCAGTCATAATACAAACAAAAAACATAACTCTGATAATGATATGCACTGTCCTTGAAGTTGATTGGTCCACACCCAAGACAGCTTTCCTTAGAGCCTTTTGGCGTCATCTGGTCCAACCCATGTGAGACTAGGCTCTAAGGAAAGCTGTCTCGGGTGTGGACCAATCAACTTCAAGGACCATGTGAGACTAGGCTCTAAGGAAAGCTGTCTCGGGTGTGGGCCAATCAACTTCAAGGACAGTGCATACATTATCAGAGTTGTGTTTTTTGTTTGCATTCCGACCGCAGGTATTGTGGTCTATGCAAACATGGCTCCTCGTAAAAAAAGTGTCAGTTTTGTTGCCAGATAGAAGGGTAAAAAACCAATTATCATGTTTTACTGGCAAATGAGGTCCCAATGGTGTACTAATGGTTTGTTGCGTGGTCTGTAGCTGCACATGTTGGGCGAAGGTGGCAGCCGTGGGGCCACCCTGGAGCAGACGCTGGCCAAGGTTCAGTATGCGTCAAGTACGTTTGTTCTCACCCTGCAGTTATCATACATTACTGCGGGTTTCCAGTCGTCGTTGTGGTGATTCAGTTCCATCTGTGATTCAGTGTGGTGTTGCATTCGCTTGATTCTATTGCAGAAACAACTCAGGTCATCGGTATGAGTGCCACTCTGAGCAACATCAAGGACTTGCAAAAATTCCTGAATGCGGAGTTGTACACTAACGATTTTCGACCGGTAGGAATCACATTCATCTTCTTGGTTCTTTCGGTAAAGTCACGTAGAAGGGAAGTAATAAAATAATAAAAATAAAACAATAAAATAATTCTCACGACGTTTCGGCCACAACGCAAGCAGCCGTTTTTTTTTTTTGTCAAGACGCTCTTCACCCCTCCATCCCAGCTTAAATAGTCGCCCCAAGCCTGGGGTGTGTCATTCAGACTCTGTCTTCTCGACAGACCTGTTCTACACCTGAGGACGGCCGCTTGCGTTGTGGCCGAAACGTCGTGAGAATTATTTTAAAATGTTTTATTTTTATTATTTTATTATTCCATCCTACGTGACTTTACCGAAAGAACCAAGAAGATGAATCCCTGCAGTCACGAAAGCTTTACATCGAAAAGAATCACATTCTTATTATTATTATTATTATTGAAAGTTTAATTTTCATAAAAATGTTGCGCAACTGATGTGTGAAAGATACACGTCTTCAACCTCTTACAAAAGTCTACATGGCTGCCGTGATCCTCACAGGTCCAGTTAAGAGAGTACATTAAGCTTGGAGACTCTATCTACGAGGTAAACAACAAGGCTCGGTGTCCAGAAGAAAGCTTCAGTTTTATCCGACTGCTCAGTCACAAGGTGAGTGCACAGACATCAATGGAAATAAAATAGGCACACAAGCTTTTGAACAGCTTTCAAGTTTAAATAACCTGTGAAATATATATCTGGACAGATGGATAGAGGAAGCAGACATTGCTTCTTCTTCTTGGTTCTTTCGGTAAAGTCAAGTCGAAGGGAAGTAATAAAATAGTAAAAATAAAACATTATACAATAATTCTCACGACGTTTCGGGCCACAACGCAAGCAGCCGTCCTCAGGTGAAGACCAGGTCTGTCGGGGAGACAGCGTCTGACCTGGTTTTCACCTGAGGACGGCTGCTTGCGTTGTGGCCGAAACGTCGTGAGAATTATTTTATTATGTTTATTTTTATTATTTTATTACTTCCCTCCTACGTGTGACTTTACCGAAAGAACCAAGAAGATGAATCCCTGCAGTCACGAAAGCTTTACATCGAAAGAGACATTGCTTGTTGATTTTGTTATTGATACTCTCCACAATGACGTGATTGATTATTTTCTGAAATGCACAGTTACGTCTATTGACATTTCACGATGGGCTACATGTGATGGTTGTCAAAGCTTGTTCAAGAACGAGCCACTTTGCCATTCGCCTAGGTAGGTCCCTGCGGGCCACACGGTAGCAAAGCTCTCTTCCTACGCTACAGGAATTTTGCTGGAGCAGCCAGACCTGATGACGGACGCTTGTGTAGCC